CAATGAAAACGAACGTAATGTCCCGGATGAATGGTGTTATAGACATGGTTTTTGTCAAAGAAATGATGAGGGCCGATGTACATAGGGAAAACTAGGATCCTGTAACTAAAATGAATTGAAATAAACCTGTATTTTTCTTCTACAAAAAAAAAAAAAAAAAAAAAAAAAAAAAAAAAAAAAACCCAGAAAAAATAGAGTTCGACAAAATTTTGAACAAAAGAGGTCTTATATATTTATGATATGTTTTGTTGCTATTAAAAGCTTCAATATTGCATGAAAACATTTTCCATTGTATAATTAGAACTATTTAATAAATTGCATATGAAATAAAGAATCTCTTCTGTTTTGATCAAAGGCTGTCCAACCTTCACCCTTCAGACAACTGACTGGTCACTGATAAGAGGTCAAGGAAAGTCACAGGAAGGATGGAGATCTGTCATTCAGTAACATTTCGATAAACCTTGTCATAAAGTAAAATTTCATTAAACCTTGTCATTCAGTAAAATTAATGTAAACTTTGTCATTCAGTATTATTTCAGAAAACTTTGTCATTCAATAACATTTCAGAAAACTATGTCATTCAATAACATTTCAGTAAACTTTGTCATTCAGTAACATTTCAGTAAACTTTGCCATACAGTAACATTTCAGCAAACTTTGTCATTTAGTAATATAATATATTATTTCAGTAAACTTTGTCATTCAGTAACATTTCAGTAAACTTTGCCATACAGTAACATTTCAGCAAACTTTGTCATTTAGTAATATAATATATTATTTCAGTAAACTTTGTCATTCGGTAACATTTCATTAAACTTTCTCATTCAATATTATTGCAGTAAAATTTATCATGCAGTTACATTTCAGTAAACTTTATTATTCATTAAAATTTCAGTTAACTTTGTCATTTGGCAACATTTCAGTAAACTTTGTCGTTCAATAGTAAAATTTCAGTAAACCTTGCCATTTGGTAACATTTCAGTAAACCTTGTCATTTCGTAATATTATATATTATTTCAGTAAACGTTGTCATTTAGTACTATTTCAGTAAACTTTGTCATTCAATAACATTTTAGTAAACTTTGTCATTCAGTAACATTTCAGCAAACTTTGTCATTCAATAACATTTCATTAAACTTTCTCATTCAATAACATTGCAGTAAAATTTATCATGCAACAACATTTGAGTAAACGTTGTCGTTCAATAACATTTCAGTAAATTTTATCATGCAGTAACACTTCACTAACTTTGTCATTTAGTAACATTTCAGTAAACATTGTCATTTAGTAACATTTCAGCAGACCTTTCCATTTAGTAACATTTCAGAAAACTTTGTCATTTAGTAACATTTCAGTAAACTTTGTCATTCAGTAACATTTCAGCAAACCTTTCCATTCAGTAACATTTCAGAAAACTTTGTCCTTTAGTAACATTTCAGTACACTTTGTCATTCAGTACTATTTCAGTTAACTTTGTCATTCAATAACATTTCAGTAAACTTTGTCATTCAATAACATTTCAGTAAACTTTGTCGTTCAATAACTATGCAGTAAAATTTATCATGCAATAACATTTGAGTAAACTTTGTCGTTCAATAACATTTCAGTAAATTTTCTCATGCAGTAACACTTCATTAACTTTGTCATTTAGTAACATTTCAGTAAACATTGTCATTTAGTAACATTTCCCACTCTGTTTTTTTTTCTATCGGCATTTTTGCGGAGAACTTACTTTAGGAAAGTTTCACTTGATGACCGGGTATATGTTTAACTGAAATGGGCAAATAGTGTTTCATGTCAAAATTGATAATTAAACACATTTATAACGAATACAAGTAAATTTTGTTTCAAATAACTTTGAATACACTGTTTTTCCAATTTTTTTTAAACTACACCAAAACTGTAGATTTTGAAGATATGTTTGCCGAACATAGATCGACGTACAAATAATTTCTATAGTTTTAATTTTACATACGAAAATATTGATCTATAAATAAATGAAATGGGCAAATCCAGGTTTCTTGCCTTGAATTCAAAATTACTATAATTAAACACATTTATAACGAATAACCGACCAAGTAAATTTTAGTCGATAATCGGTAAGATCGAACAATAGTCCATTACTCGAATATTCGTTGACATTTCTAGTTTATATTGTTTGTGATTGAAATAACAATTTGACACAATTATATCGTTTATTGATCAAAAGAAGCACATTGTTCAATGAAATTAAAGAACATCATACCTTTATCACAGTGCTTTAAAACAGATATATTTTAATAATGAAAAACAAAAAGGATGTTGCATAGAACTTGTCACAAATTGTTTAAAATCATAAATTCGCGCCTTTTATCATGGTTTATGACTGGTTTAAAGATAAATTGAAAAACAATCATATATCAATGTGATTATTTCTGAAAATATAGAGTTTTTATTTTCTCCGCAAAAAACAGCTGTCAGCTCGGTTCTGTATGAAAATGATCTTACCCTTTGTTTTTGTTACCGGTTTTTTGTAAAAAAGGCTTACAAACAGGAGTGAATAAATGATTTGTAATTTGACAAAATTGAATCCTGCTGGAAGTCCTTAAAAGCAAATTAAAAATTGCAAAATTTTCGGGTTATTCCCCTTTGATGATGTAAAATAACGTAACTTAGGCCATTTTAACAAACTGATTAACACAATCTGTTATTTTAAAAAAATTAAATCTTCGTCTTTATGACAGAAACAAATAAATACACAGAACTCTTAAGTTGAAAGAGAGTTATTGACCAATACCATCAATTTCAAATTATGAAATGCATTACACAATAGTTTTTTTGACCAATACGTGGTGTATTGACATTATTTTTGCATACATATAATTCACAGAAAGTATAATTAAAAACATTGTAATTGTCAATTTAAAAAGATACATATATAACGCTTTTATGTTTTTGATTTAAGTAGAAATTTGAGATTTATTTACCGGGTATATAAAATGAACAAGAAGGAATGTAAAAAAAATCGGTCAATTTTGAGCTTCCGTTTAAAAAAAGAGTATACGGGATTGTTTAAAGCGTGTAACATCCATTTATTATACTGAAACTTTTCCTACTTTTTAGGTCACCTGAGTGAAGAGTAAACTCAGCATTTTCAGCTTCTTCTCTGAAACCACTGAACCAATTTCAACCAAATTTGGCATAGAGCATCTATTGGTGAAAGGGAACAAAAATTGTGAATTTCATGGTCCCTGCCCCCCTGGGGCCTGGGGATGGTGGAAAATTCACTAATATTAGTGCAATCTTTAAACATCTTCTTTGCTCCTGGACACCAAGCAGTCAAACTAGTGGTATGATTGTAATCAGCATTGAGTCCTGTAGCACAATTGTGAAATTCATGGCCCCAGGTTCAATTGTTCTAGTACTAGGGCGGGGCTAAATAGGTTATATAGTGAAAATGCATTATTTCATTGAAATTCTTCTTTTCTGCTCCTGGGCATTAAATAAACTAACGAAGTGCATAGTTGAGTTTAAAATGACTGCCTCTTCCAAAATTGTGAATTTCATGGCCCAAAGGCAAGGGATTTTAGTGCTAGGGCGGGGCTATATAGACTATATAGTGAAAATGCAAAAATTCTTTGAACGTCTTCTTTTCTGTTTGTAGACATTAAATAAACTAACCAAGTGCATGGTTATGTTGAATAAGACTGCCTCTTCTAAAATTGTAAATCTAATGGCCCTAGGGTCAGGGATTCTAGCGGCAGGGCGGGGCTATTTATATTATATAGTGCAACTGCAAAATTTCTTTGAAATTCTTCTTCTCTGTTCGTGGGCATTAAGTAAACTAACCAAGTGCATAGCTAGGTTGAATAAGACTGCCTCTTCCAAAATTGTGAATTTCATCGCCTCAGAGTCAGGGGCTCTAGTGCTAGGGCGGGGCTATATAGATTATATAGTAAAAATATTTATTTCTTTGAAAATCCTCTTCCCTGCTCCTGAGTATTAAATAAACTAACCAAGTAAATAGTTATGTTTAATAAGGCTGCCTCTTCTAAAATTGCGAATTTCATGACCTCTGTGTTAGGGGTTCTGGTGTTAGGGTAGGGCTTTATTGATTATATAGTGAAAATGCATAAATTCTTTAAAAATCTTTTTTTTACACTTGGGTATTTAACCAAGGAACTATGTACATAGTTATGAGAAGGAAGGATGCCTCTTTGAGATTTGTGAATTTCAGGGACCCTGGGTCAGGGCTTCTTGTGTTAGGGCGGGGCTCTAATTTTTATTTAGTGAAAATGCATGAATTCTTCGAAAATGTTTTCCTATGTTCCTGGGTATTATGCCAATGATCTCAGTATGTATTTCTGACGAAGAAAGCTGCTTCTTCCAAACACGGTTATTTTCCTGGCCCTTGAGACAGAGGTACCGGGGGGTACATAGTCTAAAAATTATTTAATGCTTTGAAATCTGCACTTTGTTATTAATCATCAACATGATGAAATTCATAAAATTTCCAAAAGTTTGAAAGATGCAGTCCAAAGGTCAGTGGTTGCTGTGAGATGGGGTGCACAACTGATCAAGTGGAAATGCATATTTTCTTTGTTACTCTGATCTACCTCTGAGTATTAAGTAAGCAAAGTAAGCATGTTGAGTGTATGATTATGATGAGCAATGGTGCCTCTTTCAAAATTGTGTCAGAATTCCATGGTCTCTGGTTTAAAACATTAATCAAATTTAATTTGTTGGAAAGTTGTTGTATGATACTCAGGTGACCTATAAGACCCATGGATCTCTTGTTATAAATAATCTTCTATAGAATGTCATTAAATCTGAGGTACAATGTAGTTGAGATATGTATTTGCACCATTTGCATTTTCACCCTTCTAGAATATATACAGTGTATGTGAAGGAATAGATAGCTCCTCTCTTTTTTATTATAACGATATCCGCAATACTTTAGATTTGTATTCCCTTAAAATCCAGCGATTACAATTTAAATTAAAAAAAAACACGTTCGAAATAAAGATTCCATAAATAATAAATGAGTGCTTGGACACATTTGATATTCATAATAATGAATTATGATTACAAATAAACACATCGTCTTGATTTAGTCACATTCTCCTAGGTTACCCCATGTGCAGACTCCCGTCTCGTTTCTCCGACAGAAGGCGCTATTTCTGCAGTATATGCCGGAGACATTACACTCGTCCCGAGTAGGCGGGGGGTGTTCAAGTGACGCCCTTGACGAAAGGTTGCTGTAATACCATTCTATCTGCAAAAATCAATGCATGCAGCAATCATATCACTTTTAAAGTTTATATTATGTTTCCATAAGGATTGAATGGTTTTCGTATTTCTTTTTTTTTTCTTATGAATTCTTATGGTCACCTCTTTCTTAATAATTTTTTATTCATTAAAATTTTTTAACACATTTTTAAGACATTTCAGCAAAACCTATTGGTATATCAAATACAGTTTCTGACCATTTTAAGCTACAATGCTTTTAGACACATATATAAATTTTGATAATGATAAAAGTTCCTGTTAAAAGCTGGAAGTTTTAAACAAAAAGCATTCAAAATATTTTTCTTATTACTGGTCTATAAAAATTACCTTGCAACTACAGTCATATTTTGTTCTCATTCTCTCAATATCGCTAGGTTTAACGTAGTCCATGCTTCTGTACTTGAGAATATAGAGCTTTTTATTGTAGCGGCGGACATAAGCTATAAAATACATGTAGGTTGTTAGATTATTAAAGATTACACTGTATAGTTGGATCATTACATTATCAATTATTTATAATACAGATTATCAGTAATTTTCTTTTCATTGTGAAGGACGTTACTATATTTAACCTTTAATTATATTCGTCTATGTTGCAAAATTAGAGAAAATGATACCAAACAATGTCTAAGAGTAAAATCAATTCTTTTATCTATTTTTTTCTTTTAAAAATGAATAAGGTAAGACTCCAAAATCTAATAAATAACTTTATCTTTATTACACATATAAGATTTTTCTCTTTATTAGTACAAGTAATTACCGTAAATGAAGGAACACTTCAAGATCTGATAAATTACTTTTAACAGACATCATTTTTTTCTAAATACTAGTAAATAATTACTGTTAATCAGGTAAGCCTCCCTATTTAATAATTAAAATTAGATACTGAATAAAGATGTCAGGTTTTTTTTTCTTTAATAGTAAGTATCACAAATAAGATCAGACTCCCCAATCTAATAAATTTCCTACTCTTTACATACTTCACTTTTTCTTTATGAGTGTTTACCGTAAATTAAGTATGCCTCCCCGATTTTAAGCTTTTGTGGTCCACAGGTCCTTCCTGGCCCGTTTCCAGTAATTGTGTCAATATTACCCACCGCTTTATTTGTGTTCTGAAGAATATAAACAGTGATATATTTGTTTATATTGATTTAAATTTTTATCTTTATATACATTGACTTATGAAAATGAAAATTGTTCATTAAGTTTTCATGGAACCGCTTCATTTGTGTTCTACAGAGCATAAACAATAAAATATGTTAAAGATTGATTAAAATAAATATATATATTAGGGATGTCAAAATTATCAATAATTGATTTTCGAATATTCGATAGGAGTATTCGAATATATTCGAATATTCGATAAAATAAATACATCTTGCATTATAAAATAAATTTCTTCACTTTCCTGTCAAGCAGTATAGATTTTATGCCATTATTTTGGAACAGAAACTAATTACAGAGTTTGCATGGTAAATTTGCAATTATATATATTTTATAATTATCAAAAGTATATGAAGAGTATGCATCCAAAATATAATGTTTTTTTTTAAATTGAAAATATAAAAGATTCTTTAGCATGTTCCAGATTTATTGATCGTCTTACCAAAGTCTACACCGATAACTCCTACAAATTTATACCAAGCAGAATAATTATCTAATGGAGAAAAATTAAAAGCATTTAATTTTTACTAATTAATTTCCTGATAATGATTTTAATGATATTTAAAAAAAAAAGTTTTCCCATGTAAAACTGTGTCCTTACAACAATACAAGCTGACTGTTGTACACTATTTTACCACCCATTAATGATCAAATATTAAATAAATTACCTTTATAGATACACTCTTCACACCTTTCAGGTCATCCAAGAGGACTGTCTTTTAATTTTGTAAAACTTGATTCAATTTCTAATAAAACTTGCCAGGTTTTTCTCTCTTTTAAATACCTGTACAGTTAAAAAACGAATATTCGAATCATGATTTTATATTCGAATATCAACTCATGAATGAATATTGGAATATTCGTTGACATCCCTAATATATATATATATATATATATATATTATATATATATATATATATATATATATATATATATATATATATATATATATATATATATATATATATATATATATATATATATATATATATATATATATATATATATATATATAAAATTTTATTTAATGAAATTTCGATGAGGAGAAAGAACGGCTTTATTTAACAGTTCGCTTGAATATCCACGTCAAAGTTAACTGTCTCCAGAAAACATGTGTTAAATCAACAAGGATAAATTATTAAGCTTACAAAAACAGCAATCAAGCTCAAAGTAACATTGAAACAATAAAATAATTGCAGCAAACTAAGTTCGATTGAGTATCAGACACTACTGAGTATCCGGCCCCTATCTGTTTTTATTATGATCACCATTCAGGTAATGTAAAACATTAGATATTTTCAGATGTTAACCTTCTAGTGTGTGGATTACATGACGTTTATACACTAGTACCCAGTAATTCTCTAATATATGGATTGTAGGACTAGTACTTTAAAAACTTTGTTGTCCAATATTATGTGGATTGTATGACGTTTATATTCCTTTTACATAATCATCTGTTATGTGGATTGTATGATGTTTATATTCCTTTTACATAATCATCTATTATGTGGATTGTGTGACGTTTGTATTCCTTTTACATAATCTACTGTTTATAATGACCTTGGCTTTCTCACTCAGTTCAAATGACGATCTTGGCTTTTTCACTCAAATCTTATGATAACGTTGACTTTCTAACTAAGTTCTTACATTGACCTGTGCTTTCCTACTCAGTTCTTATGATGAAATTGACTTCTTATTCGATTCTTCCCACCGCCCGCGTGGCGCAGTGGTTAGAGCGTCTGTTCTAGAGTCGCGAGGTATGGAGTCATTCCTTACGTCGCGGGTTCTAATCCCACTGTGGGACATGGAGACCTGTCCTTCGGATGACACAGTATAAATGTAGGCCCCATGACGCAGTAGGTGCTGGCACAAAAAAGATTCCTCACTGCTCAATAACCCTGAGTGCCGAGTATAGGACAAAATTTGTAGCTCTCCACTGGCAATTGGTGGCGTCTCCATACGAGTAAAAATATTTTCGAGAGTGGCCTTAAACAACATACATACAATCAATCAATCTTCCGTAACATAAAGTTCTACAGTTAATTATAGTTTATTATTGTTAACTTAATTATTAATAGGTTACTATGGTTAAACAAAGTGTAAAGTTATCATTACAGTAAATCAAATTTTTCAAAGTGATCACTGTGATGTCAAAGTGACACTATACTTAAAGTTTTCACCGTAGTAAATCAAATTTTTCAATGTAATCACTATGGTAAATTAAAGTTTTTAAGAGCTATCACTTTAGTAAATCAAAGTATAAAATTAATCACTATAGGGAATCCAAGGGCCAACATTATCACTAAACAGTAGTTATCAATAATACTAGTAAACTAAAGTTAACTTTTAGAACTTCTGTTAGAGTTACGACGACCTTGGCTTTCTCATTTGGTTCCAGTTACCACGGTCTTAGCTTTTTCACTCAACTCTTCGCAAGAAAGTTTAGGCTATGTATAGAGATTTCTATGCAATGAACTAATTAAAACGCCTAAGAGCTGTACAACAAAACAGAAAAAGTTAAAACTTGTTTTCTTAAACAAACTTGTTAACTACGACATGCGTTAGCGAGTGCACATGATGACTTTATAGTACTGTACAACACATGTTTAGATTGATAAATTGAATATTGTTTAACCCGAGTCGACAATTTTTCAGCCATGTTTCGGCGGTACATGTCTAGAAGGAACATCAATAAAATAGCTTCGGCGCAAGGGCATACCCAATTTTGTTCTTCAGAAACAAGCTATAAATAGATGCAGAATATTACAGGAATTTATGATATTGTTTCACAAATGTCGACAGTGTAATTGTTAAGTTACTATTTCAAAACATTTGAGTTGACACAGGGAAAAAATTCATTGTCCGATGTAAGTTGGCCTAAAATTTTATCAATTAAGAAAGTGCATAGGATTTGTGCAGCGATTTTATAAATTTTTATAAAATTCCTCTTAGCATTGTACTTTATTTAGAATTAAATAGGATATGCCCTTGCATCAACGTTATGTTGTTGATGTGTTTATTACCTTGAATGGAAAAGATCAGTGACGTCATAAACATGACGACATAACTGTGCAGTTGCTTTATCATGATGTGGGTACTAAGTATATGTAAGAAAATAAGCGTGAACCTTCTCTGTGTAAAAATTAAACAAATTATGCATTTTCATAACCTCATTTGCTTAGAAACACCTGTACCTAGCCTTAACGTACTTTCGTTTCAAAGACCTTTCCTTCCATCCACCCCATACAAAAAAAATAAATCTTATACGAAATTTAAGAAAAAGGAAAAATTTTATCACTAAATAAATTTCCATCTAAATTGTAACATACCATAATCTGCATTGCAGAAATTCTCCTGGTCTACTCTTGGAAGTGGCCAGCAACCATGGGCAACAGAAACGATTACCCCGATGACAAAGGCTCTAACCAACTGCGACACCATTTTGAATGGTAACCATAAGAAAATTAAAGCGATGTGAAGTTTATTTTAGGTATTTATACGGATTTGATACATTCCACTGACGGTATTCTGATTTGATGTTGTCGGAAATTATCATTCATTACTTCTACGGCGAAAATTACTCTATTTTACAAGAGTATTTATTATTTTGTAATAATAAAAAAATTGAGGAATATAATGTTTAAACAGATGTGAAATTGTTCCGATGGGCCGAATGTAACATGTTACACTCGTGATTTTTACTACTGTACTCTGTAATACGACCTTTGTGATATAATTATTTTAAAAAAAGATGTTTGTTTTATTGTGTAACACTTAATTGTCCATATATTAAACAAACATATTCAAGTTCCATTTTGATGATAATTATTTAATGTCAAATAAACGTTTATGTGGTTGTTATTTTTTTTATCTATTTCACGCCATTTTGCGCCAAAAATGTAAAATGTCACTCGATTTTTCAATTTCGAAACAAAACCATATTAAACTAAACGGAATATAATCCTTGCGTTGCTTTTATCAGGCTTGCATTAGCATGTTTGTTAACGGAACTCAAGGTCAAAAGAAAAAATGAAATAAAGGGGGAGGAGAGGGAGGCCCACGTTGTGAAAATTGCCCCTTCTTTGTATTATTCAGCAATAATCAGTAGTCCCCCACCACAAAGGAACCCTCGGTTCACACATTTCACAATTTTGGAAAAGGCACCCTTGCTCATCATAAATGTTTGATTAATACCAGGTAGAAAATTTCAAAATATTTATTCATTCTCAGCATATTGAGAACCCCTACTTCTACGGTTCCCCTTGCCTAGGAACATTGAAATTAACAATTCTGAAAGAATGGCACTTGCTCACCATAGTTGTATTGGTAGTTCACATAGGCGTCGGAAGCAAATTGAAAGGGGGGGGGGGCTTAACCAAGAAAAAAAGGTAAACCCGAATTTTCAATACATAGAAAATGTCTGTATTTGCAAATAAGCCCCCCAGGTTGCGACCCCTACGCTTCATATGCTTTGTACCCAGGAGTAGAGTATAGAATTTAATGCATTTTCAGAATATATAATATATATAAGCCCGTCCTAACACAATAACCCTTAGTTTTAGGCCGTGAAATTCACAATTTTGAAAGAAGCACCCTTCTTCAACATAAGTATTATTTAGTTAGTTAATACCCAGGAACGGAGATGCTTTCAAAGAACTAATGCATTTTCACCTTATAACTGATTGAGCCCGAACATCCCTACTAATGTTATTGTGATTTAAATTCAAGTCACGTGGTTTAGGTTGACCCATTCAAAGGAAACAGGAGAGAACCGGTTTTATTAATAGAATTGGCAATAAACAGGAAAATGCTCTAGTCTGTTTATTTTGAAAACATTTCCTGTAAAAATGTGTTTCCAGATCTTTTTGAAGGACTTTCATGTTTCGGTCTAGATAAGGGAGGGGAGTGAAAACAATAAACTTTATCTTTGCTTTTGTGATAATTTACG